ATAATAATAATATATATATATATATATATATATATATACACTATCATACTTCATTATCACAATTTAAATGAAGTATAAAATGATTTTGGCCAGGTTTAAAAGATAAAACAGGTGTGTAGTTGTAGCAGAAGTTGTTCAGGAACACCTTTTCTTTTGGGAACATATCACCCAGCTAAAGTTTTATCACTTTATTTCAATCTCTACATATTCTGCCACTGAACTGGAAACACAAACTTTTTAAAATATTCAAACTAATGGAATAAAAGAGCTTTCATACATCAGTAGCCTATGACTTTAAGCTGAGATATAGGCAATCACAATGTACCATGACAACCAAGATAGAGAAACAATGATTGGCTAAAAAGTGATAGAACTGCATAGTTACAAGATTAAATTAACTCTATTTTGTTTAAAACAATTATGACTTTTCTCCATGTGGCTACAAGTGGCATATTATGTTCAGAAGAATCCAAAAAGTTTTCTATCCCACATCAAAATATGCAATTCTTATTTTATACTTATGTATAGAATTAAATAAATACAACTTTACTGAATAAATTTCAATCCCGAAATGTGTGTTTTTTCTCTATGTGTGGAAAAATGACAATAGAAAATTTATTTGTTACAATGGTTCAATTTTGCCCACAAAGCATAATGCATCCATCTGGACACGAAAGAGTTAAGTATTTACACTCAAACTTCAAAGCTCCTACACTAGAATTTGACATTTTTATTAATTCAATCAATTCATCATATTCAAATGCATGCAGGATTAACAAAAAAGAAACCCAATAACTCAAGGACTTTCAGAAAGTGGAATTTCCTTCATCAGATGAAGAATAGTTCACTTTCCAAAAGCCTTTGGGTTATTCAGTTTCTTTTATGATGTTAACAACAGTTTAGCAAATAGATATATAAAATGTTGCAAAACAGTTAACTGTAGCCACATCCAAAAATATTATAAAATCTATCGTACACAATTAAGAATATGTAATGCTGTATACCACCTGATATGCTTACAATCATAAACCTACAATACTATTAGATTTCAAATTCATTATCTCAAATACTGCTGTGAGGAAGTTCCAAAACCAAGACAAAAAAAATAATATTATGGAAATACTATAAATATTTTATGAAATTATTTTTAATGTGTAAAAATCAGCTGATCATTTATCTGATACAATGTCAAAAGGTAATACAAAAACTTAATTTGGGCAGCAGTATTCAAGCAGAAACTTGCCATTAAATTGAGCTGGGGGTTGTGTGTTTGTATTTGGGGTGGGGGCACTCGAAGGAAAAAAACTAATAGATATTTTTAATTGAAAAACTAAAATACTTTTAAATATATTATATTTGTGTGCATACAGACATCTGGGGTAATGCAAAATACCAAAATAGCAAATTTAAGCAAAATATTTGTTCCTCGTTGTTATTAGATTTTTTTTAAATATTTTTTCTTTTTATTGCTTTGATATCTGGCCTAACTTTTTCATGACATGATTTTTCAAACTTAGGTGCTAAAATTTTTTTCCTCAAGTGCAGTAAAGTGCTCACAAACTGAGCCTATATTATCCCCCACACATGACAATGTAGATCTGTTGGTTGTTTTGAATTAAGGTGGTCCTTATTTGCAGGTAAAATTTCAGATTAAAAATTCTAAATTTCCCACCCCTAATTTTGTTCTATTTTGGAAAAAAAACCCATTAAATATCAAACTTCAACCATTTTGAACCATATTTAGAGGTTGCTCAATGAGATTGAAGTTCTAGACCAGTGCTTCTGAACTGAGTGAATGGTTCACCCAGGGGTTAATGAGATCAGAGTCCGGGTGAATGAGTATTATCAATTATACAACAAATTCAAGAGCAAAAAAGTCATTTTTATTTATTCTAGTTGTAGTTTGATGTATATTTAAGTCATAATAAAGAATCTTGCATTTTAATTTAGTACTTTTTTGTCTTTTTTCAAACTGGGGTAAGTGAGCTGTTGTGAAAAACTTATAGGGGTGAATGATATTGGAAAAGGCTGAGAAGCACTGTTCTAGACTGCAGTAGCCTGGTACTGTATGTACTATGTGATATAAAAATATGCTTAATACTTATTATAAATGATTTACTAAGAGTGTATTATTATTTTATTGCAAGTACAATAATTACATGATTATACGATTTTGATGTGGTTAGTCACTTTTCCATTGTTCTTGTTTCCTTTTTGCTGTTAGGAAAGCATCTTCTACGATCCTCTAAAAATTGAAGGAGGAGTTGTTTCTGTTCTTTCTTCATTATGATGGCCTTATACTCCTAAATAAGAGCAACACTCCTTTCAGCATTGTAATTTACCAAACTCAAGTTCTGAACTGTCTTTAGTGCCTCTCTGTAGTCCTAAGCTCCTATAACATGGGATCATAATCCAGATGGAATTTTATAGCACCTGAAGTCTGTTTTGTTCTTTGAGATGAAATCTTCAATTGAAATGTCCCCAGACTTCTTTATATGTAGTTGGATGCACTTTGGAAGTTCATCCACACCTTCCTCCTCATTTAGTGCCTTTACCATTGCTCATTTTGCTCTGTGGATATATCTGGATCAAAGTATGGCAAACCACGAGTTCCCCATTGAGCTACCACAGATGTCCAACAAATTTTTGACAGGTAGATTTTGAAATGGCAGAATTAATACTCATACTTAACAAGACATTGTAGGAAGTTAAGACCACTGCAAGGAGCAGAAATGGTATCAGGTGCAATGAGTAATGCCCTTAGACTCAAACAACAGAGATGAAGATGTTACAGTCCTTTTTCCTCACAGCCAGTGACCCTAAACTGTCCTATGAACATCGAGATCTTGGCCATCCATAATGCATGTTGTAATGCTCCGAGGGGCTATAAATTACAGTTTATGAGGATGCCACAAAGAAAGTTTATGACTAGTTCAAGAACTCTCAATAATCATCTCTAGGTTGGCAGATCTGAAGCTGTCTTGTAAAAACTAGAAACTACTCTCAGTTCATACAGAATATTCCAAGAGATAGCATGGATTATTTATGTATGGAATGTACTTTGAATATTCTGACTAATGTGGAACTCCCTGGAATATTCGAGAATACGATAGATTATTTCATAATTATTTAGTGTGTTCTGGGACATTCTACAATAATTGGAACATACAGATATAATGCAAGCTACAAGGTAAAAACCTGAATTACCTTGAACAACCCATGAATGTTGGTGTGAACTAATCCTTTATATATATATTGAAATAAAATGAGGGGGTGAATGTTGTAAATTGAAATAAATATAAGGACTGCTCTAATATAAAAGAACAATATTTAAAACCATATATTATTTGTTTTTAACAACACTTCCCTTGCAATTATTAGTGTTCTTAGGTAAAACTTTCATTTTTCATATTTGATTACTTTAAAATTAAATTATGAGATCAATTACAAGAATTATTTAAACAAGAGTGTGGATATTCTCGACTTGTTTCCTTCAAGGTTAATGGATTTACTCACAATGTTTTTTATCCAATGTAGTTTTACTTTGTAAATATAACTTTTTAATAATAAACTTTACAATACGTCTATGTAAACATTACAGCCTTATAAATTAATTATTTTTTCTCGAAAGATGCATCACAAGTATTTGACATGGGCTATAGAAAACTTAACTTACCATTAGCATCATAAGTTCTTGTTGGAGTCTGAAAAATAAAAGATTCAAAAAGTTTTACATATATTACACCAAAAGTTCTAACAAATAAAACAATTCTACAAATCTAACCCATGTATTTTTCTTTATAATTCTGATATAATCTTCAACATACTTAAAATAGTCCATCTTGTTATTTTGTTGGTAAGAACAAATAAGCAAGACAATTCCTTTTGTAATCAATAACAAAAGATGACATGAACGATTAGTTTTTCTCTGTCATTTGGTGGTATTTTGAGTGCTTATATTTGTGCTCAATAACAAGTATTTTTGTTTGTTAAACATATGTACTTAAATAGTCTATGCAAGCCTTGTCAGCTATTACTTAATTATCCACCTGTAAACTATATCACCTTGCAAGATCAGACTAAGCCTACAGAGGATCTTGGAACAATGTGGGGCCCTACAAGGGAAGTATGTATAATTGCTGGTGCGTGGGCATGTTCTGTTACTCACCAATACATGTACTAGTAAATTGGTTAAAATGCATCAGTGCCTGCTTATGTCTATTGAGACATGGTATAAGACAAACCCTATACAAAATAGGCAGTGTTCCATGCTAGACATCTGCATGGGCCTGGCTTGGGGGAGGTGACTTCTGTCAAACTATTCATAAAAGTTCAGGCTTTTTTGCTTTACTTTTGAAATTTTTTTCTTGAAAAATGGTAACCTACACCTATAGCTGAAACCAAACAATACTCATTTGGCAGTTTCATAATTTTTATGCCCAGTTTCAGAAGAACTGCTTTAAGGAATTTTGTAATTCTATAAATACTGTCTCATGCCTCTTTTGTATCAATCATTTTAAACAACAACTATAATGTTGATAAGTACACATATTAATATTCATATTATTATTTTTTACTTCTCTATGATGGTAAGTTGGAGCATAAAAACAAGACATCTTGGTTTTTTTATAGTCAACCAATGCTGCCTGTCTTGTGAGCAATATTTAATTTAAGCTTTGGGCCCAAGTTGGGTTTAGTATGAAGGAAATCAGGTATTCAGCAGGCTTGAACCAGATAACTATCAGGTTGGGTAAACACAAAATTTTGCTCCATGCAGACTCCTATTCTATGTATTAAGTGTGCTCAGATCGATACTAGTTGAGTTGACTGTCAGGAGATGCATCAAATCCTCTACCACTGTTTTGCAAAGCTTGCTAATGGATCTTAGAGGATGTATGAGAGTGCTTTAAGATATCTACAACCCTACATCACTTAAATTCTTTCAAACACAGTATGATCAATAAGCTACTGTCCTAACCTCACTCTACTTCTATATTGCTAGGAACTCTGGACATTTAGAGCTATTACATAAAACAACTGTAATCACTTCAATAACACCACCTTAGAAGTATAATTACAATCACATCCATGAGAAGACAAGTCTTGAACTACAATGTTTAAACCATCCTGCATCCATACCCAAACTGCAGTAAAATCTGTAATTCCAAGATTGGACTAATTGGTCATCTTAACCAAACGTGCAAGGGGTTGGTCTATTGTACCGACCCCATACTGGAGAAGGAACATTGACTATAATTCCAAGTTTACTAAGTATTTCTACACAAAATGTGGCAAGCTTTAAGTAAAATGCACAAGTCTGTTGTACAAAAAAATCAGATGCATTACAAAGATATCTGTACTCAACATATGTCTGTGATTTGATAATATCAGTCTAACCAGTTAGAGTGCAAGGTGATGTTCATGTGAAGAATGAAAATACTTTTGTCCATTGTACAACTTCCATATTGTATTTGCATAAATTCTAGAAACTGAAATGCATATCTACAGTTTTTTGTGGTATCCCTGTACACTGTATCTGGTATATACTCTCCTCTACCACAAACTGTTACTAAATCAGCAATACAGGTTAAAATAAATAGGTGATGCTTGTGATATCACATTTGTAATACCATGTTGAATGGCACTGTACAAAATTGTGGATTGTGCATTTTGGCATCCACCTGTGCACACAGGGTTAAAATCTACTGATGATATAGGAATCTGACTTGTCTTCAGCTCTAACAGTGGACTTATATATACATTTTATATTTTTTCATTTGGTTTTTTGATTTAATCATAAAAGATATTTTTTTCCAATTCCCATTTGAAGCTGTGTGTGTATATACATATGCATATTCATTCACTTACATCATCATGGAACCATCTTTTGCATGTCATTTTAAGGATAAATAACATATAAATATATTTTGTATTACTACATTTAAGTTTTATTTGTTTGGAGCTAATTCTCAAGTACTTATTTTCTGATTTTTGATTTTACCTTCCATAATTAAAAATTAGTCTTTCTTCAATGTTTTTCTAAATATATATATTTTTTAACTCTCTTTGTTACACAGTCTTTTAAACTCAATCATTATTACTATTATTTTTTTTGGAGGTGGGTGGGAGAGTATTTAGCATCCTGGATATTTTAACTGCATGTTCCAGTTGCTCATGTTCCTTATTTGCTGTTTGTATTGCCTTTAATATTACTGTATGTTCTTACAAGGTTTTGAGTTTCTTTCACTACTTCTATTTGTATTAGTTATTCTGGTTTATTTACCAAACTTTTTTCACCCCATTTAATGGCTAAATTTATATATGTAGCTGTAAATCACCTTTAATGATAATATTCTATCATATTACACAGTTGTTTATGTTAAACTTTCTTTCCTGTTTTAAGTTTTTTCAGAATGTATACAATATTGCATAAATTATGCATTTTGAAACTAGCATTTGCTTTTCTAGCATGCTATTGTGTTTGATGCATACAGTGACAGTCTAAAGCAGGGGTGGCCAACCTGCATCTCTAGAGCCACATGTGGCTCTTCCAAAGCTGATATGCAGCTTCTTACAAAAGCATATTTCACTATGCCTGTAATTAAGTAAAATGTTTTGACTTAAGAAGTATAAGAAAATCTACAAAAACATGTAGTTAAAAGGTTTAATTGATGTTCCATTATATATATAATAAAAGCACTTTAGTAAAAGCAACAATATTTATATTATTTTATAAAATAAAAACATTTGTATTGTACGGAACTACCAAGGTGGCACTACTGTTTCACCTTGGACTTTGTCAATGTTACTTGTGTTTTTCTGTGGCGAAAGATATTTTAGATATGTTTGGCTCTTCAGTAATGTACGTTGCAAATTTCTGGTTCCCTCCCTGCTGTGGGTTGGCCACCCCTGGTCTAGTGTTTAATAATTATTGTAATATGTACCAGTTAACCACTTTCAAAAACTTTTCCCACCCTTGATGTAAGACTAATAGACCTATAATTACTGGGACAATTTTTATCACTTCCTTTGAAAAGAGAAGTGATATTAGTCAACATCCAACCTTCTAGCACCTGTCTACTATTCAAGGACTATTATAATACATCCACATCCCTATCTGTTATTTTTGTTATCCTTCCCTCTCCTAGTTACTCATTTGCTGAAATTTTTTACTTAACAGAGCCTGCTAATTATAATTAAATCCACTGCTACTAGCCTATTAGCACTGTTTTTAAGTTCATGATAGTCATTATTACCTACTATATCCTTTGCAAACAAAAGCACAAGTTCCTCTTTAAATCCTGCTGTCATTTTCCACAGTATATCCTTATCTTTAGCAACTGCCTCTAACCTATTTAGGATAGCTTAAAATTTCTCCTCCAACCTATACACACTACATATAACTTGTACATCTTCGCTACTAGTTTCCTTAAATGTGCATACCTGTTTTGAGTTCCCAAATAAAACCCACTCCTTGCACCTGTCACACTTCAAAAACTCTGAACCCTTAACAATTACACTACTCTTAGGCACTGTAGCCTGGGAATAAATAATCAATAATAAATACCCTTACAAATGTAACATTTCTCAATATTGCTTATTTTTTCTGATTTTCAAAATTACTCCTAATTCATATTTTAACATTATATGACATCAAACATGACACTACACAGCTATTTATAAATGTTACTACTACCACTTTTACTACATTTGAAAGAAGATTCTTAAGGCATGTTTTTTTTTTTAAAAAAACTCCATTTCATTTACTGTATTCTTTCTTTAGCAAACCAACTTTAATATATAACACACTTTTTAGAAATTAACAGCTATAACCCATTCTTTACATAAGTCCCACAATAACACTAATACCAAGGGAGATTATTACTATTATTAGTACTTCTAAGATATACACCAATGTTCAAATTGCAAGTCTCATTTTCATATTGTAGATGGATGAGGACGTTGCTTTAGCTAGGATTTTTTATAAATATTTTTCATGATTGCAGCTAAGATATTCACACAAACCCAAGTTTTAGCAAGGTCAAAGATATTCAAATAACTCCTTACAAATATTATAATTATAAAGGTCACCTGAATTTGAAAGGATGATTTCTTTCCTTCAAAGAAAACCACATGTAAAGATTAAGGGTGTTTTTTTTTCTTCTTTGCTTGTAAATGCCACCATTACTCTCTCTAAGTCAGGCCGAGACAAATCCCAGGTGCCATGGCAACAAATTTTCATTGTGGCAACTAGTATTTTCTCAAATTATATTCATGTATAGAGCTATGCTAAATAGAACTTGAATCTACAAAGGACCTATTTTCACATTTTTGGAGTTCTAAATCGAACTATGTTTCTAGGATTTTAATAGCAGATTCAACACTTCATGTTTTTTTCAGAATGAAGCATTAAGGTTGCACAACATGTTACTAATTTCATGCCATTTTGGTTTTCTTCTTTCTCTCAATTAAACCAATAAGTGCACATGTTTAGACTCAGACGAGACCAAAGGCAGTTAGTTCAGGCAATACTATCAAATAGTTGTTGATATTATGTGATCATTAGAATGCACTCGTTGTGGTGAAAGTGCTGGTCCAGAGAAAGCAAAAAAATTGTAGGTAACAGAAACATCAGATAACCAAGGCACTAGTGTATCTCACTAGTTAGCCCATTATTTAATCTAAATAAAAATTTTAAATACAT